GCTTTTTTTTTTTTTGGTCCCTTCGAGTCAGTGTTGACTCCTGGTGACTGCCTGGACAAGTCCCTGCAGTTTTCTTGGCAATATTTCAGAAGTAGTCTGCCATTGCCTGCTTCCTAGGGCTGAAAGAGAGTGACTGGCCCAAGGTCACCCAGCTGGTTTTGTGCCTAAGGCAGGACTAGAACTCACGGTCTCCCGATTTCTAGCCTGATGCCTTAACCACTGCACCAACCTGGCTCTGTTATATTGGCTGAACTAAATATAACCTGGCTCTGTTATATTGGCTGAACTAAATAGGCCAATGCATAAATAAAATTACCACCTAGGACTACTTTCAATGCTGAACTTCTCCACACCCCCAAGTAGTAGTTAGTGTCAGGGAACTGGGTCCAGTGTTCCTGGTCTGACATATTTACTGTACATTCTTCTTTGTACTCCCACACCACGGAGGAATCTACCTTATCCAGTTTAAGCAAAGAGACTCAAAAGTGATATTCAGAGCCAAATCCTGCTGGGAGGTTGTTTTTCATTTTAAATGTCTTTTTTAACGGCAGGTGCCAAATTTCCTATCAAATGGACAGCACCAGAGGCAATTAACTATGGACTTTTCACAATCAAATCTGATGTCTGGTCCTTTGGAATTCTTCTCACTGAAATTATCACCTATGGACAGACTCCCTATCCAGGTAAGGCAGGCTGCAATCTAACACCCTTCACTGCATTGAGCCAACGCTTCTCTCTGATTCCTCCAGTAAGGGTGAAAGCTCAGAAGGGACATTATTAGGCCAATTGTTCAGCCCCAGTACCGGGCAGCTTCTCATCATTGTAAGTACACTTCAAGTGAGTCAAATTTACTAATTTACTAATTCAGACTCAACTGTGTTTGAGTTTGACTCCATCAGGTTCTAATTCTTTATTTTTAAGCAGTTCATCAGCTTCTTTTTTTCATGAAACAGGTGGGACATGCATGCATTTGCAAAGTTGAATGGGAAACAGAAGCAGAAGTTAATAAATAACTGTAACTATCACCACCAACACACACACACACACACACTGAAACCTTAACGCTGCCTTATATGTCGTCCAGATTTTTAAAAAAGGCATGGGATTTGCTAGATATGCCACAATCTTATGTGGAATTGAAACTGATTTAGAGGAAAGAATGTATACTTCCTATGCCATACATTCTATAGAAAACCCATATAAAGATTTCACAGATGAATCTGAGGCCTAGTCATATACTGCAGCCAGCCTTCCCCAATCTAATGCACTCAGTTGTGTTGTGTTCCAAGCTTTTGTTAATCCTAGTCACCCTGACCAATGGCACTTTATACTGGCTAATGCAAAATGTTTATACCCAAACATCTCATAGAAACTGTGAAAATGAGAATCTGCCTTATTGCAAATTGTTGATAAGTCCAACTGCCTTGCTACTGTTTGTTTCAAAGGACAGGAGCTGTGCAGAATTCCGGCCAGATTCCAGATGGAATTTTGGACCTTCAGCACAGAAGGCCAATGTATTCCCAGAGAACTTTAGTTTTCCCCCAAAGACCTTATTGAATTTCATTTCCTAGCCCATTTTTCAAACAGTGACTTCTTACTGAGTTGCCAAAACTGAGTTGTTGACAGTTTACTGGAAAGATTCACACCAAGTCAGAAGGTCTAGGCTTGCCCTAGCAAAATCTCAATCTAAGTTGAAAGCCTATTTCATCCTTTCTTTTGAGTTTGATGGGCAGCAGCACTCTAGTCTCTGGATAACTGAAACTTTTTACTGCCCAACAAGATGCAGCAATTGGTAACAGTTTTCAGAAACCTACAGAGAAGTTGTTCACAGAGTTCTTGCTCAAGCAGCTCTAGACAATCTTATTTCCTCTTCTAGTTGACTGCTGTTCTCTTCCCACCTGAAGGTGTATCTTCTTGTACATGTATATGGTTTATGTATGGTTTAATTTTTTTCCTTTTCTTCCCCATAGCTATGATGAATCATGATGTTATCAGACATCTAGAACAGGGCTACCGGATGCCCCGTCCAGAATCCTGCCCCTCTGAACTCTATGCAATAATGTTAAAATGTTGGAAGAACAACCCAGAAGAAAGACCTACGTTTGAATACCTCCAGTTTGCTCTTGAAGACTTTTATACAGCCACAGAAAGACAGTATGAACCTGAGCCCACTACTACCTGACCCATGTTCATCAAAGTTGAAGGCATTTTTCTTTTCTTTTTTTAATCACAGCATGAAATAGTTGGGGAGAATTTCCTCTTAGTTGGACTTTGCAAAGTTGTTCCCAGTCATTTGAGAAGGAAAGACATATCCATCTCTGAAGCCATATTCACTGCTTGTCCTTGCCTGGCTCTGGTCCCCCCACCCCCCAAGTGAACAATGTAAGCCATGAAGGCTGGGGTTAGAATCAAGAAAAAGAAAGAATGTGTGACAAGGAGCAGGGTCTCACTCTTTTACCCATGCTTCCCAAACCCATGTCCATGTCCACATCAATTTATCTCAAACTGTATGTTTTGCACTATGAGAAAGAATCCAAAGTAATGGTGTAAGGATTGTTCAGTCCAGTTGAAATCATTGTTTCCATTCAGATTGTCCTTGGAAACAGAATTGACCATTCAAATCAAACTGGAAAATCAAACTTATTCACTTCAATGTTGCAGCTCATTCACCAGATACATGGAGTGGCTAAACTGAAGTAGGATTGAAATTGGAATGAGGTGGGGGGGGGAGTGGGGGAGACAGGTGATTATGCATATGAGATTACATGTGAGACAGATTATAAATGCCATATCAATGAACAATTGCAATGTCTTTAAAAAATCTGTGTCCATTAATTCTTTTCTGCAAAGTCTGGCCTGTTTGTCCTACACAGAATCTAGAGGGGCACTGCTGGCAGAAACCAGAACCTCTAGGCCAAAGCTTTGCACAGCCCTAGTCCTAAGCAAATGCATCTATGTCCAGGGAGATGTCTTCTATTTGACTCAAATGTGTCCATAAACAGCACATTCTTGCTAGTACCAGAGCTCCTGAGGAATGTGTTTAGCAGATCATGTCAGCTTTGGGAGCATTTATTTTTATTTATTTCAAGATTTATAACATAAACACACAATAAATCAAAAGGAAGAAAAAACAAAGCATACGCAATGGGCAAGGTCCTGGTTGGTATTAAGACCCCAAACAGGACACCATTGTAATGAGATGGATAATTCTCGGAAGAGTTTATAGCGTTTGGATCCAGATTTAGTTTATACATAGGGTAAATATATTACGACTCACTGTACTTCATAGATCCAAGAAACCCCAAACAATGTCTCTAGGCATATGCTATTAGCAGTAATCTATTAATGTACAATTGTACTTCATTAGTTTCATTTGCTCTATTGGAATTTAGTCAAACTGAAATATTTTGCTGTGTGATTCCCACCGTTATATAGCCATTGAAAGTTAAAGTGCTTGTGGATTGTAAATGTAACGCAGCATGGAAATCCACTTGGCAGGGACTGTGATGCCTCTGAGAATGAGTGAAAAAGCTCTTTTTTCTCTTCCTTTTGTCCCCCACCTATGGATGCCAACAATTTCAGGGAAGAGAGTCAGGAATGAAGGCATGGAAAGATGGGGAGCTGTTTCTTATTAAGTCAAAACCTTGGTCCATCTAATCTATATCGCCTGGTGCCTAGTTTTCTTTTGCAGGAGTGTCAGGGAGAAATGGACAGTCTTTGCTAGCATATGGAAGTGTTAAAGGCAGAACCTGAGAAATGCATATCATACATCTGCTCTCTCACTGAGCGCAGCCTTCTCTTTTCCTCTATGGCTGGGAAACCCCCGTCCAGGAATCAATCCAGTGGCTTCATGAAATCAATGTTCTCTCCATGGGTAGCCTCCATCTGGCAGATTCCAGTGCAGATTTGCTGCTCCTGCACCTTCTGCCAGCTGGTTAACTGGCTGAGTTGGTGTTCAGGTTGTCATGCAAATTCAAAGAACCGTGTGTGCAAGTGGGTGTACAAACAGCTGCCAATGCCCAATTCAACACAATCTGTGTGGGCTGTAGCTAAGGAGGAAGTAGAGTCATGTGTAGCTGCTCATGCACCAAGGTGTGAAATTGAGACTTGGAATGAGCATAATGAATATGGGTGGCTGAGTGGTTAGCCCATCGATTTCAGACCCACAAATGAAAGTGCTGAAGTTTAATGGTATACTCTTTCCCTACAAGCCCATGTAGCTCACAGCATATTAAATAAATCGCAGTGAACGCCATGTAGCAACTGAAAAACATTGGTCTGGTTGTCATCTCTCAGGCTAACCTGCCTCACAGGTTATTAGGAGCAAAACATTGGCTTAAGATGCAGTTGTGATAACTAGTGAATAAATTTACATGATGCATTTAAACTCTCCCTTTAAAGAATTACAACATATGAAAAGTAGACATCGAATATGCACAAAAGCATGTGCCAATAATATGTTGGTGATGGAAGGTTAGGAAGCAGCACTGATGAGCAGGAAAATGAAATGTAGAATTGGAAGGGTCTTGGGTAAGATTATTATGTCCTCACCCCATTGCTGAGTGGTAGTGTGCTCCACCCATCCTTCAGCTGGCATAAAACTATATTGGCATGGAATCGGCTGTCCCATTGCTGGTTCCTCTCCTGCCTGGGTTCCCCAGTCATTGCAATGCCCTGATATCCCTCCCAATGGGGGACAAAGACTAATACATTTTATACTTCCTGAGACTGCTCTTGGACAGTGTCAGAATATAGGGCAAAATTGACCCCTTATGGACTTTTTGGGTAAAAGTGAAAAAAAAATGAACTTGTGATTTATGGTTTTGATGATTAGACATGCTAGATTATAGAAAGAAGAGAGTCATGATGTAACTTTAGAGAGAAAGGTTAAATATAATTGTATTTATAACTGCTGTGAAGAATATTGGAAGCTACTTCTTCATACCTTTATATTTTTCTTTATATATTTTTCTTTTCTTTTTCTGCTTTCTTCTATTTTCTTTTTTATTCTTCATACCTTTATATTTTTCTTTATATATTTTTCTTTTCTTTTTCTGCTTTCTTCTATTTTCTTTTTTATTGCACTTTTAAGTTTTTCTGTTATTTCTCTTTTTCTTCTTCATTTTCTCTGTTCTGATTTAGTTTGTATTAGTTCTTACTACTGTTTGTACGTATGTATGTATGTATGTATGTATGTGTATATATATATATATATATATATATATATATTAAATTTTATATATATATAAAAATAAATAAAGAATATGAGGCAAAATGCAATACAACTAGGGTTAGCTTAGGCTGACTCATTCATGGGCTGGGAATTAGATGAAGACAATCTGACTTGTACAACACACTAGCCTGAGATAAAATGGACTGAGGTTGCTGGTAGTTCAACATGTAGGAATTCAGCCATCATCTTAACCTGTTGTATGAAACAGGCTACCATATTTATCTGAGCATAACAAGTCATGGGAACACAGCAATTCTGTTTTGCTAACCTGAGTTTAGACTTTAATCTGTTGTGTGTCTCTAGCTATTTGTGATTACTGATAGAGGAAATAGATTATTTTGAACAATAAATAGGTATTATTGGTTACAATGCCCTAATACATGATTTATTTTTTTTAAGAAGTACCAAAATATTCAGACTTTTTGTACACTTTCTGTCAATTGTATCTTATATCCTCCTCTCCCCTTGGGTTCCAATGCTACTGAATCTTATTTTGGGTTGATTTACAGAGAGAGAAGAATCTACTCCATGGCTGCTAAGAGTATATTCTCTCTGCTTACTATGATTTTTGGAGGAAGGGGGTTGATCCTAAATTGGAGCCTTCCCCTCCCAAAACTAACATTTCATGATATACCTCAAGGTTTCCTCCAAACATTGTCAAATGCCTCCCCAGCTATCCAGATGCATCTTGGTTTACATAATTAATGAAAGATTTAAGAATAGTGACTGGTCACTTGATCAGAAGACAATACTTTGGAGAATGGAGTTGGGAACAGAAGTGACAAAGCCGCTGGGTGGCTAAAGATTGCTGGCAGGAGAACTTGACATGGCATTTCATGCATTGAGTGATGGACCATATAGTTTTGAAAGCTATGATTTGCTGTAATGGCATTATGCCACTAAATATTAGGGTCCTTCTTGGGCCAAAACACCCTTAAAACCAAATGATTAAATCAAAGTGGTCAGTGCTTTCCATCAAAACACCAGTTCAGAGCAATTGTACCTCTCTGAAGCAGAAAGTCAAAGGGATTTCTTTGAGCACAGAGGCCCACTTCCAATAGACTAAAACAGCCATTTGGATCAAATCAGCCCATTCTGATATTGCAATTTGAGCCATCAAGGTGGAATTACTCAGTTTTCTACAACCATCCAGATCAGGCAATCCCTTGAGATGCAGCAGCGTCAGGTAGGCGGATTAAATTCCACATCTAAAGGATAATTTCAGCGTTTTGACCTTCTCTGATCTCCCTTCAGTATTTTGAAAGACAACAGATAAATAGAACCTAAATATACAAACACAGCATCCCTGTCATCCTGATCCTCACCGTTATTTATTACTGAATATCTGTATTTATTAGGTGGATACAGAGGGCAAAGAACTGGATAGACCCTGCCTGCAGGATTAAGGTTTTTGTTTTTGTTTTTTTTGTTTTTATTTATTTATTTTTTGTGATACCAAATAAAAAAATAACAAGCAAGGAAAGGGAAAGCAAGTGAATTCAGGTTCCAATGACTGATGTTATCTGATCTTAATAGGGTTACTGATTTATTTAAACTGTTTAAAGTGACAAGTGACTCCCTTGTCATTACATTCACACATACCTCCACAAACTATAGTTCTGCTATCCTGGGCAACTGGCAACTGCAGCCAAGTGTTCTTTCTAGGGGGTAATGTCAAAAGCCATTTTTCTGCATCTTTTCCTGCTGTGGACGTTGATGGATCATCTCACAACTGGCTGAAATAGAAACATTCTGTTCAGTCAGTGATGGTACGTGTGAGTACCTGTGACTGTAATATAGGCATATGGTCCACCGGTTAATCCACCAAAGATGGATTTAGTGGATTCAGCTCTGAATTAAACTGATTCAAACTCACAAATCTGCTTTTGTATTTTCCTGCTGCAGAACTTGGGAGAGGCTTCCCAAGGAAGGAGGGATAAGGCAAAAAGATAAAAATGTGTTGTTCTTCCAGTTGACCACGTGGTGTCTCCCTCCTCTCAATTACCTGGCTTGGACGAAAGGAACGCTAAGATGGCCTTTTAGAAAGAACTTTAAATAGATGGTGTGTAAAAGACGTTCAAGTCCCTTCCAAAAAGCAGTTCTTTAATGCGTTAAATGTTTAAGAACTTTTAAAATATGTGTTACTTTTCCGTTTGAAAAGGAAATGTCCTTTTCAACCATTAAATGCTCTTAACAATCTATATTATTAAAATGTATAAACGTGAAGTTAGCAATAATAGTGACTACTTCTTACTCTCTCTGTGTAACTATTTTGTGTCCTGAACTGATAAGGCTAACACTAGGAAATTGAAAAAAACAAACGAACAACAGTGTTGAAAAAAGGTAAGGACAAACCATATCCGTATGATTGCTAGGAAAACTACACGGAGATGTCGATTTTATCACCAGGAGTTGAGCTCAGTTTGAAGGAGATTTTAAGTGAAAGCCAAAAAGCCATTAAGATTCCCATAGCAAAACAATCTAATACTAATAAAAAGAGTGGCAATTAATATCATCTAAACAGTGAGTGGATGGATTCACACACGGTGACAGGCTAAGCTAAAATGGGTTTAGGTAGATTGTGGTTTTTAAAGGTTTTTCAAAAATAGATAACAAGCTGGGATTTTCTCCTCACAGATTAACATTGATATAAATGCCAATATGTTTATGGGGAAGATAAATGCAAACATTATTATTATGTCAAGATGTTATTAGAGGGCTTTGCAAATTAATACCTTCAACGTGCTTTGTCTTCATTGAGCTAGGGGTGCAGCAAAGAGGATAACCTTACATAACTGAAAAGAAAGTCACTGATTTTAAGCAATGGGTCCATGATATGAGCCTGTTATCTATTTTTGAAGGCTTTGTGCTCTAAAATGAGAAGGTGGGAGATTATGTTTTGCTTTGCTGGCTAGATTTAATTATAAGCTCAGTGACTTCAGTTTTATATGGATCTTTTCTTTTTTGTTAATTGGGGGTCTTGGATGCTTCATTTATTTAACCACTATAATATACTTTGGGGTATTTTTATTGTCACTATTCAGTGTAGACTTTTTTCTTTTGTATTTCACTATTTTAACAACGACATAGATATATAGAAACAGATATAGATAGATGATATAGATATAGATATAGATATACACACATAACCTTCAAGATATTTCAAGCAGATTGATAGATTATTAAGAGCATTTTTATGGAAAAGACAAATCCCTAGATCAGTGTTTCTCCATCTTGGCAGCTTTAAGATGTGTGGACTTCATGCTGGCTGGGGAATTTTGGGAGTTGAAGTCCACACATCTTAAAGATGCCGAGGTTGAGAAACACTGCCATAGATGTTTCATATGGGTGTATGAGATGTCATGATTTAGAGGGGGAAAGGTAGCACATGTCACAATGTCACAATCCTGCTTTCATCATTCTGCCCCTCTCCACCCCCCGCCCCACAGATGCCACTATTCATGGACTATTAGGGCTATTAATATTTTGCCAGTCAAGTTTTTAATTCATTGGAGTGATTGCAAGAGGAATATGGATTTCCTAAAACTGTGGAATGGCACCATTTGATCCAGATGTCATAGTGGCATCTAAAACTTCTGAGTTACTGTCAATACTAAAATATGTTTTGGACAATTCCACATTGATGGTATTTTAAATAGGCAATTAAAGAGTGTTATTAAGGTGGATAATGATATTTAGTATGTTTCCTACAATTCTGAGATTAATCTAACAAGAATTTTTTTATGTTTATTGGACACCTCTGAATGTTTAAAAAGGGTTGGTCGTCAACTTCATAATGCAGAAGTAAAAATGATGCAAAGGCATTTACACATTCTGATGTAGTATCCATAAGTTTCCTAATATGGTTCTGGGAACAGTAATGTGTTTTAAAGATGTGCATGTGGTTTTGAATTATACACTAAATATTAGACTTTCCCATCATATAAAAAACCATGAATTACTGAGGAAGAGGCATAGCAAAACATATTTTTGGAAACACAGTGCTACTCCAGATATACAGGCTTGGATTGACTATACATCTTCAGTTTCTGTTTATGAACTGGCTCTATCAGTGTAATGGAAAGGCCGAACTTCATTACTCCTTGTGGACAAGGTTTAATGCTTTATTTAAAAAGTGAGTGGCGTCTTTTTGTTTTGTTTTGGGCCTTAGGTGTTTTTTTTTTTTTTTTCCTATTTCTTTTTCTTTTCTATACCTCTTTTTCCCCTTGGGGATAGCCCTGGAAGTATACCAACCATTTTGGGTTCCATATAGTGAACCCTGGCTTTTGGATACAGAATTACAAAGATCTCCATCTAGGCTTTTGACCCAATCACATTGCCTCAGATCATATATGTGTATATATTAAATTCCAGCTTTCATGTCTGGCTGGGAATAGCTGACTAGCTTAAGTATTTGTGGAGTGCATTAATGAATTCCCCATTATGAAGAAGAGGCGTGTGTAATTCCAGATTGTTTAATAACCTGATTGTATTTGGCTATGGAGATATCACATTTCAAGGCTCTGGGATTGGGACTGGGAATCATGTGTGGCTGTCCAGATAGCGCTCTGTTCCAAGCATATCTCATCCTCATTCACATTGGCTGAGACTGCTGGGCAATGTAGTTCAGCAAAATGTGAAGGCCCAATTGTTCATCACACCTGCCCCAGAAGTTCAAGAATTATTCTGATATTTTCATACCTTTTCCCATGAACAAGTAAGTACCCAACGGTTTTATTGGAAGCATGGTAACAAGGATGGCAACCTAATACCTTCCAGATATTTTCAGGTGAAAACCTATACAAGATCTTCTCATTGATCAAGGTGAATGGAACTCAAGAAAGCTGTAGCCCACAGGATGTGGAAAGCACCAGATCGCCTACTCCCCACCCCACCCTGCATTGTCATATTCCCTTATGTTTCTATCTTTTGAACCCTCGCAACCAGCTAATATTTTACATTCATCCCCCTTCCTTGTATCCTTCAGACTGCATACTAGGTGGTCCTCAGGGCCATCACAGGATTTGCTTCCCTTTTGATAAAGCAGAGGTTGAAGAGGTCACTTGGAGGTCAAACCCTGGGCATATATTACTCATCTCTGGACACAATGGACTTCAGGAGTAGCTACATCCAAGGCCAGTTACACTCTGATCTTTCATAACCTGGTGGCAGCTTGTATAAACTGTCTTCTCCTTGATGTGACTGTGATTTCACCTTGTAATTGATTACCTCCTCCCCCACCAATGTCCTGGACTTCCTCTCTTTCCTTTGGGTTTTCACTCCATCCAGCTTCATCAACCTTCTGAGAGCCACACTAACGAATAGCAATGTTAGGCTCTGTGCCTGAGACTGCATATCCTTGTGCTAAACTGAAAGGTGTAGTGTGATGGTACGCAACTTCCAACAGCTTGAAGCCTATACCCAGTCCTGCATGGCATGTCATGGGCTGCAGTCTAAAAGGTGGTAGGCCAAGGACCCCAATTTTTTAGTTTTTTCAGCATTCTTTGGGATACAATGGTGCCTTATATTTCTGCAGAACTTAAGGCATCCTTTTTGCCCTGCAACCTCTCCCCCTACAAATCTTCCACAACAACAACAAAGGCCATATTTGAACAAAAGGCCACTTGGGGAGAGGAGCAAAAGGATTAATAGGAGCCCATACTTTTTGTACCCAGAATATCCTGTATAGTTGTCATCACTTGAACAGAAATAGTTTATAAGAATTCTCCAAGTTAAAGTCTTGCATGATTATCAATCTTGGACAGGGCAGGTGGGTGAAGAAAAATTGTGAGGTATGTTCAGTATGTTTTCCATATATCCATCATCATATTTCCCAATAGGATTTTTTTTCTAGGAAAGCCCAAAACAGTTTCCATGAAGAAACCTTTTGGTTTATCCCCAGCAATTGAAATCAAAAATATATTGCATTCAAGCAAGAGGGTAATTTTCTCTAAGAGACCTACATCCCATGAAACTTCAGTGCATTTCACAGCTTTTGTATTAAGAATAAGCACTAGAACGCTGTTCATTCTCTCCCATGCCATACACAATAGCAACTATTTCATATTCTTTTGATCTTGTTTGGATTGTCTTTTTTTTTTTTTTTTGGCTAATGGTCACTGAGATAATTTAGTCATCTAAAATAAAAATGTATGGCTGCAGAATAGGGAAGAAAGCCAGATAAAGTCAGTGACATCATCAGTACCAGCCAATTGGAGAGGCTGACAATCTGCTACTACTCTGGAACTTGTAGAGAATGGCCTTTTCCAAGCTGGAGCCCTTTGGATATGTTGGGACTTCAGTTCCCAGAATTCCCAGTCAGCCTGATCGTGCTAGCTGCTAGCCCCAGCACATCTGGAGGGCATCAGATTGGGGAAGCGTGGTGCAGAATAACAAGGCAAGACACAAAGCTATGCCTCCATTGCAGCCATGCCACTCACTGTCTGTAGGTTTGGGGAATGCTCCCATCTGTGCAAAGCTGTCTTTTACAAGGTTGCCAGGCTCTGATTAGCTTCAGGAGAAGCTAAGCAGGTTGTTTTTGTTTTATAACCTGGAAAGGCCTAACTAAATTTTGAAGGCCACCCTCCCTGCCTTTTCAGCTCCAAGGCAAGGTGAAGGCCATGGGATCTGGCCATCTGTGTGCATCAGCACCCCAGAAGCCTCCTCCCTTCAGCGTTCCTCCTCCAGCTCTTGGACAACTCCTGTGTGCCTTGGAGAGAAAACAAGCTGACCGCATCCAAATCATGAAAGAGAAAGAAGGCTCTCTGAAGCTCAAGGTAACAACAAGGAACAGCTGCACCCAGTTCCCATGTCTGCCCTCCTCTTCTGGCGGGAATGTCCTGTACCCAGCGGCAGGAGAGGAATGCTGAAGCAAGGAGGGGAGGGCAGTAACCTGCGTCAGTCAGCACCAGCTAAGGGGCCTTGAGTCCTTGCATGGGAGAGAGAGGGACCATCAAGTGTTGCATTCAATGAAGGGCATGTTACAAATCTTATTTACAAAGGCAAATAGAATATCTGGGAAATTAAATCCATACTGATGCATGCATACACAGCCATTGGTGAATGAACGTCAGTCCACTGATGAACAAAATCAATAGACAGCTATGTCTTAGGGCTCTAGCAGGGTCGGCTGCCAGCTGGTGACAGATTTACTGCTTTGTACTGAGTCAGAGTATCGGTTCACCTAGGCCAGGATTACCTACACAGACTGGCAGTCACTGCCTGGATTTCTGCAGGAGGGACTGAACCTGGGCTCCATTTGTTTCTATAGCATATACTCTAACACTGAGTTATTGCCTGGAAACCAACTGTGATGAGGAACATGTGAAACAGCTGGCTGGATTTATGCTGCTGAAGGGCTGTCATGCAGAAGATGTTGGCAAGGGAATTCTGGGAGGTGAAGTCCATACATCTTCAAGCTGCCGAGGTTGAGAAACACTGCTATAGACTAATATATTGTGAAATAATTGAATCTCTTTTAAAACTTTTAAGCTAGTAATTGTCAGCACATCTTGTGACAGTGAATTCCATAGTTTTTTTTTTAAAGGTGAAGTGACTTATGAAAGTGAAGTGGCATACTAAGATTATAAAATACATTATAGCATATAGTTCTGTGGCCTACACCCATTGTAGAAAAGGCAGATGCAGAAAATGTTTTATGGATTGCTACCATCAATTTTCTATCTTTTGCAGGTTTTGATGAACTACAGAAACACAGCAAATCAAACCTCACAGGGAGCATGTATAGATGAACATATACTCCATAAAAAATAAACAGCTTGCCAAGGTGAATAAAACAGGCCAGAGGAATTGCTTTATTACTGGAAATGAATGAATGAATGAATAAATATAAATGGTAGGAAAATCAGGCAAGTAAGGCAATACCAAGTGGTCTGTTACCGCATAAATAGTAAGCCGTTGGCTGAAATGCAGGAGTGGAGAAATGCGATGGCTTCTCTGCAAATTAACCTTTAATTTAATTCCAACAACAATAAGAATTCTCTGCTTGAACAACGGACATTTGGAGATTACTGAAATAACTGCATTTCTGTGTGCTAGGCAAAAAATGCTGAGCTTGGCTGAAGCAGCAGAAAGCTTGGCAGAATTTTGCTGGCCATGGGTTTCCTCCAATTGAGTTAAGGATTTCCCCTCAGAAGCCACTCGTGAGGTGAATTAATCTCCTTATTACAACATCCTGTCAAGAGTGGGGCCATTTGTTTCTGACTGGTGATGGGGCAGGTTCCAATTTGTCTCGCTGGTGGCAGGAGCAGCACTTCATGGTGGGGGCGGGGTACAAAAATTTGAGCGAAAGCCTCCCACCCCTGTTCTTCTTGTGTTAGACAGAGATTTTTTTTTAAAAAAAAATGTATTTGCAAGCTTTTTTAGAAATGCCGGACATTAACCAAAAGTTACCTAGGTAGCATGTAAAAAGCACTTCGAACCACCAGCTATAAAAATATGTAACTATTAAATGGAAAACAAGCTAAAAGGGCAGCGTAAGAAACTTAGAAGCACTCACATGTTTTTAAAATGGAAAAATCCATGGAAATGCATTCAAAAAGTCTTTGCCTGGCACTGAAAAGATTGCAGCACACACCTGCCAGGCCTTTCACCTACAATCAGGCCCACTGGTGAAAAACTATCTGGAGTGGGCTGTGCCCATGTGGGTTTGCACTTAATTTCCAGTTCCAACAGGTGGCAGCATCTGGCCAAACATGGCTGATCTCACAACCAGCTAAGCCAGCTTAGACTTAGTCAGTCCTGGAATGAGAGACCATCAGGAAATCTTAAAGCTGTAGACTAGACTGGGAAGTCCAGAAAACATTCCAGGGGGCTGGTGATGGGAAACCACCTTCATACAGAACAATAAATAACAAAGTAATAAAACATAATAACAGTTTTATTATTTCGTACACAGCACAGAGTTCTTTGGGACAGTTAATTAACCCTAAAGTAAATAAATGGGTTGCCATGGATGTGTCCATGTTATTACCAGGAGTCAAGCTTGAATCAAGGGTGTCTTTACTATATTTAACCTTTATTATTACTTCATTTAAAGTTTGCTGGAAAATGCCATAAAAGCCTTCCAAAATGCTAAACGTAGACATATGCGTGTATGCAATTTTACAAAATCTGAGAAGCATCAGTCACTGGAAGAATAAGTTATTATGATTCACAACTGATCACAGGAAGGGTAGTGAACTGGCAGAGTAAACAAGCCGAGAAGTAGGACGTCAGCAATGTGGTGGAGAAGTCAACAGAAACATGCAGGGTGTTGATGTAGAACAAGAGCTCAGAAACAAAGTGGCTCGGACTGGGCTGTTTGGATGCTTGCCCTGAATCTTTCATAGCTCTTAGTTTTATGACAGTTTCTTCCCTTTTTGTATGTTTAGTTTAAATACCAGAAATGAAATACACCAGCCCTGTAAGGAGTTTAAAAGTCTGATAATATGAGAATGCATTTTTAAACAATGTGTGGAATAACGTCCATCCCTGAGCCCGTATGATCTATCACAGCCTGACTGGCAATGATGCTGCCTTTGTGGGGCTCTGCCATTTCAGACTGCAGTTGGGCTCAACCCAGGTTTGTTTCCCCCCACATTAAAAAAAAAAAGAAAAGAAACAAAACCAAGCACTGAACGTGAGACTTCTCCATAAGTATGAAGCCAGTGTTTAAGAACAAAAGGCTTAAAGATTGTTCCATGCAGGAACAGCATTGCTCACCATCCATGGATTGTCCAATAGCATCAGAGTCTATAGACTGCTAGAATCTGGAAGCAGAATGGAAACAAGTTCTAGATGGTGTCAGAATATGATCTGATGTACATCGGCTTTGTTTTAACACAGGCTTCAGCCGCTTTTTGACTTTTGAAAATGTTGGACTACAGTGTTCATCAAAAGCATCCAGTACAGCAGGGTTCCTCAACCTTGGCAACTTTAAGATGGGTGGACCTTGCTGGCTGGGGAATTCTGGGAGTTG